ACACGGGGGGACACGGGGGGGGGGACAGGGGCGCAGCTGGGGAGGGACGGAGGGAGCCGGGGGAGGGGATGAGGTGAAGTCAGGACGGCCGTGTCCCCTCCGTGCAGCAACTGGGGCAAATCTCAGCTCTCCGAATGCCCCGGTACCCCCAGGGCTGCTCTGAACCCCATTTCCTGGGACCCCAAACCAGTCCTGAGACCCCCAGGGCTGCACTGTGCCCCATCTCCTGGGACCCCAAACCAGTCCTGAGACCCCCAGGGCTGTGCTGTGCCCCATTCCCTGATATGCCAAATCCCCCCGGTACCCCCAGGGCTGGGCTGAACCCCCATTCCTGGGACCCCAAATCCCTCCAGTACCCCCAGGGCTGTCGTGAACCCCCATTCTTGGGACCCCAAAACAGTCCTGTGACCCCAGGGCTCTGCTCTTCCCCATTCCTGGGACCCCAAATCCCTCTGGGACCCCCAGGGCTGTCCTGAATCCCCATTCCTGTGACCCCAAATACCCCCAGACCCACAGAGCCCTGCTCCAAGGTCAGGGGTCCCGGCTGGACCCCAGCACAGGGGGCTCGGATCCTCTGGCACCCCCCACCCTCACCCCAGCCCCCCAAAAAAGGAGACAACAGCCCCAGGGCGAAGCTGCTTGAAACAAGACCACGACTTTATTTGAGCTAAAAACCCCAAATCCGCTCTCTTTACAAAAGGATAAAACATTTCCAGTACAAAAGGGAAGAAGCCCCCGGACCCGGGGGCTGGGCAGGGACCTCCAATCATCTCCAAATTTCCAACTTTATACAAAACCAGGGAGATTTTGGCCAACCGGGCTGGCGAGGCCAGTGGGGCATCAAAAATAGTTGCCTGGATTTTCTTTGAGAAACAAAAAAATAAAATTGTTGCATAGCATTTAAAAGTTATTGCTCGTCTCAAAATGCACAGAGGAGTTGGGAGCTGCTGGTAGGATCCCAAATCCATGGGATGGTCGTTAAATACCGAGTTTGGCATTAAATATGGAAATATTGGGGTTTATCACCAGCAAAAAAATCAGGTGGTGAGGGAAATAAATTAAATAAATAGTGGCTAATAAATAACCCTGGAGCACCAGCACGGCAAAATCCACAAGGTCTCCAGGCAGGGAATTCCCACTAGGAGCCTGGGAAAAACCTTGGGCACATCCCAAATTTCCATGGAAAACGGGAGGAAATAAATTAGGACTCCTCACACACAGTAATTAATAAATAAAGCAGGAATTAAGACAGGTTTTTGTTGGCGCTCAGGACTGGGAGCAGGGGAGGGGACGCTGTGAACCCAGAGGGGACGAGACCCTGGAAGGGAGAGGGGGTCGGGGGCTCCTGTTCCAGGTGGGATTCTGGGAGGGAGCAGCAGGATCCCAATGAAATTGGGATTTTGGGAAGGATCAGTGGGTCCCATCCAGATCAGCAGGATCCCAAAGAAATTGGGATTCTGGGAGGGATCAGCAGGACCCCACCTGAGGCTCCCAGGTCTGTTGTGGGGCACAGGGAGGGTGAGGCTGGCGAGGGGAGCGGTGGAGGGGTGGCCACAGGGCCTGGCTGCGACCCCAGCAAGGGACTGGGATGTGCATGGATGATGGGCCACCATCACGGGGCAGCGGACCACTGTCCCTGGACACTGTCCCTCCATCCCTGGACGCTGTCCCCCCATCCCCGGACACTGTCCCTCCATCCCCGGACACTGTCCCCCCATCCCTGGACACTGTCCCCCATCCCTGGACACTGTCCCCCCATTCCTGGACACTGTCCCCCCACCCCTGGACACTGTCCCCCCATCCCTGGACGTTGTCCCCATCCATGATGTCAGAAGGAAAAGCTTCTCCCTGGGGTGGGAATTTCTGTGCTGGTTTCCCACAAGTGCCCGGCTCGTTCCCACCCGGCCCCGGCTGGACTGGGAAATCCATGACCCCCCCGGGGAAGGGACAGTGGTCACCCCGAGGGGCAGGAGGGGCTGTGTCCCCACTTGGGGGGCACAGGGAGAGGTTGGACAATCCAAGGGCTGGACCTGCTGTCAGGATGGACTCCTGGGGGTGGAAGCACCTTCGGGAGCATCTCTGGGGGAGCAGCGACCGCTCAGAGTCCAGAACGGCTCCCGCGGCTCCTGGGGACAGCCGGGACAGCAGCGGTGGCACCTCCAGGGCCACGTCCTGCAGAGCTGCCCCAGCTGTGTCCATCCCGGGCTCTTCTCCCGGCCCCAAAGCCGCGTCCGGCCCCGCTACTCGTTGAAGATGGCGCCGAGCTGGGGCCCGGCCACGTGGGGCGGGAAGGGCTCGAAGGCGACGTCCAGTGGGATCTCGTAGCGGGGCACGGAGCCCTGGAAGTGCGAGCCGTGCCCGTGGGCCCCGGCCAGGCCCACCGAGGGGTAGTGCGCCATGAAGGGCGGGTAGGGCTTCTCCAGCTCGGGGGACCCGTCCTGCTTCAGGGAGAAGTTCCCGCTGATGCTCAGCGGCGGCGTCAGGGGCCCCTCGTAGGGCGGCGTGGAGCAGTCCGAGGGGTGGCTCCCGAAGGAAGCCTCCACCAGGCTCTTGAAGGCCGGCGGCTTCAGGTGCAGCAGGTGGGACTCCATGGAGCCGTAGGGGGGGCTGGGCAGCCCCTGGTAGCCGAAGGAGTGGCCGGGCAGGGCTGGCTCGCAGGGCTTCTCCTCGTGCTTCTCCAGGAAGAGCGGCTGCGCCCCCAGCTGCAGGCAGCCGGCCACCAGGTTGCTGGTGGGCTGCGAGAGCCCCTTGCACAGCATCTCCACGAAGCTCTTCCCCTCGGGCGTCTGCCCCGTCTCCAGCACCTCGGACAGGGCCCAGATGTAGTTCCTGGCCAGCCGCAGCGTCTCGATCTTGGAGAGCTTCTGGGTTTTGGAGTAGCAGGGCATGACGCGGCGCAGGTTGTCCAGGGCGTCGTTCAGGCCGTGCATCCGCGTGCGCTCGCGGGCGTTGGCCTTGACGCGCCGCGCCCGGAACCGCTCCAGCCTGGCCTTGGTCATCTTCTTCTTCTTCGGGCCTCTCCTCTTGGGCTTCTCGCCGTCCTCTTCCTCCTCCTCCTCCTCCTCGGCGCTGTCGTGCTGCTCGGCCAGGGCCGGCACCAGCGCGAAGGGAGCGCTCCCGGTGTCCCCCTCGCCCAGCTCGGCCCCGGCTGCGGGCGCGTCGCCCATCCAGGCCTGGCTGCTGACGAGCTCGGCCATGTCCGAGGGCTTGGCGCAGCTCTGGGGCATCTGCAAGGGAGGGACGGGCACGTGGGGACGGATCCCAGAGGGAGAACCCTCAGCGCCATGGGAAAATCTCCCTCCAGGCACAGCCCACTCCCAGCACCCGTGGATTCCCTTTTTCCTCCTATTTCCCTCTCAGTTTCCAGAGGATTTTATTTGGGAGGTGCTGGCGCCTCTCCCTGAGCTCCAGCAACGTTCCCAGAGCTTCCAGCCATCCCATTTTGGGGTTATTCCCGCGTTATTCCCTTCTTGTCACACCCTCCACCCCGACTGTCACACCGGGGGTGACAAGAGGGGGCTGGCGATTCCTGCTCTGAAATTTTCCTTCCCTGAGCCTCCCTTGCCCTCGGTGGCGGCCCCGGGTCCCCGTTAATCGGCCCCCCCAAATCCCATCACGGCCCCCGGCTCGTTCCATAAAGCTTTAGCCCCTAAGCAGCTTTGCTGGAAGTGCTGCTCCCCTTTCCCGAGCATCCCACGCGGAAAATCCCACTTTTAATATGCGTGATGGGCTCCCGGGCGGGATTAGGGTGTTAATTGCTGTGCTATCCCCAAGGACCACGCGGCCCCAATTAACTCCTGGCGGAGCACCGGGGGTCTGGCGGAGGACGGGAAACCGGGGGGGTGAGGGCGGGGAAGGATCGATTTTGGGGTGAAGGGGGTGGGTCCGGTGAGATCAGCCCCAAAACGCTGCAGATCTGCCCCAAAACGCTGCAGAACTGCCCCAAAACGCTGCAGAACTGCCCCAAAACGCTGCAGAACTGCCCCAAACCCCCTCAGGCTGCAGCCGGGGGTCCCTTTCCCCCCATCCTCGCGGATCTTCTCTCTCCTCGCTGCTCCCGGGATCCATCCCGGGTGGGAATCCCCGGGTTTGGGGTTCCCTTCTCGAGGGGAGCATTTCCAGGGAAAGTTCTCCCTTTGGAAGTCTCGCTGGAATTTTTAAGGGGATTTTGCTTTCTTTCTACAGAATATCGATCTAAAACTAAAGAAATCGCACGAAGAGGGAATTGCCTGAGGAAATCGCTTCCTCCTCCACCATCCCCAGCCAGAGCCCGGCCCCGCCGCGCCCGGGGGTCGCCGAACCCTCGCTGTGCCCCCAGCCCGGTCCCGGCACCGCGGCTCCGTCCCCAGCGGGCACCGGGGCAGCGGCTGCGCCCCCATCCCGCCCCTGTCCCCGCACCCCCGGCCGCTCAAACCCCCCCGGGCCGGGCTCAGAGCCCCCCGGGCCGGCCCGGGGGCACCGGGAGCGCCGAGCGGCCGCGGAGCCCCCTCGGGGGCACCCCCGGAGGGGAGTGCCGGGGTCCCGGGATGCCGGTCCGCCCTTACCTGGGCACGGCAGCGAGTCCCCGCTGTCACTCGTGTCACTCGCCCGGGGACATGGCGGGGTCAGCCCCGGGGAGCGCAGAGGAGGCGCAGCGGGAGCGCACCGGGAGCGCACCGGGAGCGCAGCGGGCACCGGCGGCTCCGCGCTCGGGCTGTTTTGAGAGCTCCGCGCTGCCCGCGGCTCCTGCCCGGCCGAGGGTCCCGCGTGGCTCCTCCCACGGGGGGAGTGACCGGGCCCGGCTCCTCCCGCGGCCCCACCGGGACCCCGACGGCAGCGCCCGAGCGTCCCGGGCTGGGGACCGGCGGGGGGGACACCCCTGGCTCTTGGGGACCCCTGGGTGGAGTCTCGGGGACACCCCCTGTTATTGGGGACCCCTGGGTGGGCACTCGGGGACACCCCCGGTTATTGGGGACCCCTGGGTGGGCACGCGGGGACACCCCCGGTTATTGGGGACCCCTGGGAGGGCACGCGGGGACACCCCCGGTTATTGGGGACCCCTGGGTGGGGGCTCGGGGACTCCCCCTGTTATTGGGGACCCTTGGGTGGGCACTCGGGGACACCCCCGGATCCTGGGGACCCCCGGACGGGACCCCTTGGATGGATCCCCTGGAGGAGCCCCCGGACGGACCCCCACGGATAAAGCCCCCGGACGGACACCCCCGAAGTCCCTCCCAGTTTGCCCAGCCCCAGGACAGCCCCCGGGCCCCCCTCCCTCCCATCCCACGATGTGACAGTGCCACAGCCCCGGGGGTGTCCTCACCCCCCGCCCCTCATTGCTGGGCACTGCCCCGGTGACAGCGGGGGTGACAGCGGGGGTGACAGCGCTCCCCCCGGGTGCTGGGGGGGCGCGGGGGCTGCGAGCCCCTCGTGGCGGTAATGAGCGGGCGAAGGGCCGTAATTAGCGCTCGGCAGAGCCAGAAGGAGCCCGGGGGAGCTGGGGACAGGCAGGGGAAGGGACCTCGGGGCTCGGCAGCCCCCGGGAAGGGAGAGCAGGGGGTGAAAAAAGACCCCCGCCGAAACTCTGGGGGATCCTGGGTTGTTTTACTTGGCCCGGGGACTGGGGGAGCCCCTCGGACCTGGGGCAGCAGCTGGAAGTGGGGGACAGGGATGACACCCCAAAAATCATCCCCCGACCCCCTCCTCATCCCTCCGCTGTCCCCCAAATCCCCGCCAGCCCCGCGGGACCCTTCCCCAGTGCCTGGGAGCGCTCGGAATCGCGGCCGCGGCAGGCCGGGATTACGGGGAATACTAATTAATTCATTAGGCGGCTCCGTGGCTCCCTCCCCGGCGCGCGGCCCGGGCGGCAGGAACAGATTGCGGCCGATAAATCTGCCTGTTGCGGGCCCCCCCTGACAGATGGCTCCAACAGGTCCCGGCACCCGCACAAAGGGGCCGGTGGGCGCCCCGGGGGAGGGGGGACACGGCCCGGGCTCCCCCGGGACCCCCGGGCATTGTCTGCGCCGGCCACGCGCCCCCACCCCCGTCCTATTGTGCGGGGGGACCGCAACTGCCGGGGGTGCGGCGGCCCCCGGAACGCTCGGCTGAGATTTCCCTTCCCTTCCCTTCCCTTCCCTTCTTTTTCTCTTTTCCCTTTCCCTTCTCTTATTTCCTTTCCTTTCCTTTCCTTTCCTTTCCTTTCCTTTCCTTTCCTTTCCTTTCTTTTCCTTTCCTTTCCTTTCCCCTTTCCCCCCCACCTCCAGGAACGGGCACAGCCCCCCAGCCCTGCCCGGGTGGGCACCGGGGGGGTCCCCACGATGGGCACCAGAGAAGTGCCACCCGTGCCACCCGTGCCCGGGGCTGGGGGTCCCCAAATCTCCAGCTGTGCCCACCCCAGGAGCCGCCCCCCTTCTCCCTGGAGCCCCCCCTCTGCCACTCCTGGGGACCCCCACAAGGCCGTGTCCCCCCCGGGCCGTGTCCCTCTGTCCCCCCCGGCCGTGTCGCCCCCGGGGTGGGGGGCAATTTCCAGGGTAAATATCGGGAGAAGCCCCCGCGGCCCGGCTGGAATTCCTGGGCCCGTGCGGAAGCGCAATTAGCGCGTATTAACGGGGTCTAATTTAATCCCGGCAGCTGCGCCCGGGCCGCCTCATTTGCATAACACTGGGGAATGCAATTAGGGAGAAATGAGGGGCTGGGGGGCCCCGGGCGTGGGGAGGGCGGGGGGCTGCGGCCAGCGCTCGCTGACCCGTGCTTGTCACTTTGAGCGATGGTGGCACCGGCGGGGGGGGCGCGGGGGCGGCGGGGACAAAGGGGCGCTGCCCCCGGGGTCCCCTCGGCTGAGTTTTGGGGTCTCCAACCCCCCCCGGGTGATCCACCCGGGGGCTCCGGGGGGAATTTCCCCACCGCGGTGGAAATTGTGGGAATGTTGGTGCTGGAGAGGGGACGCGTCAGGGGCTGGGGACACTCGGGGGGACCCCTGACCCCCCAAACCTGCGGGAGCGGGTGACAGAGTGGGGGGCACCTGAGAGGCGCGGGGTGAGCCTCTCGCGCTGCTCCTGCCTCAGTTTCCCCTCCCTCAGCTTCCCCTTCCCCATTTTCCTGCTCCAGTTTCCCAGAGCTGGGAAGGGGGGGGATGCACCCCCCAAAAAGGGGCAGGAAAAAAAGAACTTTTTGGAGCAGAACCCCCCAGGGGGCTTTTCCTGCCGGGGAACACCCCCAGGAGCACCCCCAAGGAGATTTTCCTGCCGGGAATCCCCCAGGAGCCGCCCCAGAGGGAATTTTTCCTGCTGGGATGTGGCTCGAGGGGGGGTCCTGGGTGGGCTGGGGTCCCTGGTGTCACCCCCCGAGGGGAGGTGGCAGCGCACACGGAATCACACAGGGAATGTCACATGGAATCACACATGGACCCGCACACGGGATCAGCCCGGGCGGGGCACGCGGAGCCGCGCTCGGAGCTCCGGGAGCGGCTCCCGCATCCCCGGGCCGGAGCTGACCCCTGCTGGCCGCAGCCTCAGCAGCCGAGCCCCCCGAGCGCCCCCCGCCCCTCGGGGGGTCCCCAGCGCTCCCCGCTGGGGGTTTGGATGGTCAGGATTTGGGGTTTTGCACTACCCGGGGGGTTTGGATGGTCAGGATTTGGGGTGCTGGCGGGATTTGGGGTCCCAGCACAACCCCGGGGTCACAGGACTCTGGCACAGGCGCACCCCTGGGTGCCACCCCAGGGTCCCCCCGCTGCTCTTTGGGGCCACGGGCACCCCTCGGAGCCCCGTGGGGTCACAGCGGGACCCCGGGGGATCCCCGCAGGGGGGTCCCCCATTCTCGGGACGCGGAGGAGGAGGAGGAGGAGGAGGAGGAGGCGGCGGCGGCCTTGGCACCGGCGGGGGCACTGCTGGCTGCTCGGCCGCGGCGGGCCCCAGATGTTGAGCTGCGGGCACGGCTTTGCCCGTTTGGCAGCGGCCTGGCCCAGCTGCCGCCCCTGTCCCGCGGCTCCGCAGCCGGGGCTGCCCGGCCCCCCCCGGAACGGCCCCGCTCGTCCCCCGGGGCCCGCGGCGGCACCTGGGCCAGCCTGGCCCCGGCCCAGGCGTGGAGCGGCGCCGGCACCCCCGCGGGGAGCGGGGCCCGCGCCAGCTCCGGGAAAATCCCCCGGGAGCGGCGGCCCCTCCGCGGACACCGGGAGCGGGGGTGAGGGGGGGCTTGGGGGGCGTTTCGGGGTCAGGAAAGAGATCCCGGGGGACCCCCGGCTGCCCGCGCAGCTCCGTGCAGGGAGCGGGGATTTCCCCAGCCTTGCCAGGCAAATCCATTAATTACTCGATGAAGGGAAATTAATTAGGATGGGTTCCTCCGAGTGCGGCTGAGGCTGCAGCTCCGGGACCCACATCCCGGCTGATCCGGGGGGGCTCCCGAGGGGACGGGGCTGGAGGGACACCCCGGGGTGCTGCTTGTCTCTGCTCCCCCCGGGGGACCCCCCGAGCGACCCCCAGAGCCACCCCCACCCCATCCATCCCCACCCCGGCCCTCAGAGCCGGGAAAAGCCTGCCCTGGCCTCGGGGGTGCGGAGTGGGGGCGGGTGCCCCCAGTACCCCCCCAGTGTCCCCCCAGTGTCCCCAGTGCCCCCCCACTGTCCCCAGTACCCCCCCAGCGTCCCCCCAGTGTCCCCCCCTCCCTTTACTGGGGACATCGTGGCCTTTTGGGGCCACCGGGGCGGGGACATCCCGGGAGCCTGCAGGAGGTCACGTGCTTGGATGTCACCACCTGGCGGCTGCTGACGTCACCACCTGGCAGCTGCTGACGTCACCACCCGGCGGCTGCTGACGTCACCCGGCTGTCACCACCCGGCCGATCCCAAGGCTCGGTGGGTTCCGCTCCCTTTCTCTGCTCCGTCCTTTATTTGGGGCCAATTCCCGGCGTTTGGGGCCAGGTCAGGCCCCAGGTGGCCGCAGGTGACATTTCCACACCGGGGTGTGCCCACAGGTGACATTTCCACACCGGGCGTGCCCACAGGTGACATTTCCACACTGGGCGTGCCCACAGGTGACATTTCCACACGGGGTGTGCCCACAGGTGACATTTCCACACCGGCTGTGGCCGCAGGTGACATTTCCACACCGAGTGTGCCCACAGGTGACATTTCCACACCGGGCGTGCCCACAGGTGACATTTCCACACTGGGCGTGCCCACAGGTGACATTTCCACACCGAGTGGCCCCACCCGGGTGGGTCCCAGAGCCGGAGCCTGATCCCGGCTCGGTGCCCCCTGGGTGACAATGACAGCGCCAGGAGCCCCTTGTGCCACCTCGCTGGGGACATCGGCAGCGCCGGGCCGGCCCTGCTCACCGACAGCCTTTTCCTGGGGAGAAAAACCAGAAAAAAAAAAACCAGAAAAACCGCAGCGAAGCAGCCGGAAAAGCAGATTTTGTGGGGCTGTGAATTCTCTCACCTGCCCAGAGCTCGCACCGAATTCATTTTCCGCCCCCTCCGCGTCCCTGGGCCGGCTCCGCATCCCCGAGCTGGCACCAGGCGCCTTTTCCTGGCAAAAAACGGCCCGAAAAGTGCCGGGTTTGGGGAAAAAGCTGCCCGGCAGCGGGGGGAGGAGGCGCGGGGAGATGTGAGCCAGCGAGGAGGAGGAGGGTGAGGATGAGGCAGCTCTTCACACCGGCACGAGGCATCTCCCCGCGCCGGGAGGGGCCGGGCTCGCTCCGAGCGGGGATTTATTGAGGGGAAAATCACAAATTTCGGGTGGGCTCCCATCCTTGGGGGGCTGAGCGAGTCGGGGGTGAGCGGGGAGCGGAACCAGAGCCACGAGATGTCCTTCACGGGCTCCGAACTGGGAACCAGCGGGCCCCGGTTCAGCCCCGAGCCCTGGGGGGTTTTTGGGGGGAAAAACCCCGAGATTTCACGGAACCCGGGCCGGGCTGATCCCGGGGGGTCGGGCTGGTCCCGGGGGGGCCGGGGTCCCTCGGGAGGGTCCCGGGGCTCCCAAAAACCACAGAGCTGCTCGCCCCCCCCACTCCCGATCTCCCGCTTCCCACGGAGCTGCCGCCTCATCGCCGTTGCCATGGAAACCGCAGCCCCCCGCCCCCCCCCACCCCGGGCAGGGCTCTGGCACAGCCGGGGGGGCCCGGAGCTGCCAATCCAACCTCGGCCCCCGCAGGACATCGTGAGGGGGCGTGGGACCCGCCACGGCCCCGGGGACACGGCCAGGGGGGTCCCCAGGGATTGTCCGGGACCCCCCCGCAGTGAGGGGGGACGGGAGAGGGACAAGGACAGGGGACAGGAGGTGCTGGGTGTGGCAGAGGGGACCGAGATGTCCCCGGCCACTCGGGGGTCCCCGTGTCCCACCCCCGTGGGGACCCCGAGCTGTCCCTGCCCGCCCTGGGAGAGCCTGGGGAGACAGCGACCCCCCCCAAATGAGGGCCGGGCCCAGCTCCTGACAGGGACAGGGAGTTTGGGGACAGGGAGGGGGGTCTGGGGGTTGGGGTCTGCACTCTGGGGTGTGCAGGAGCCTGGAGCACAGCTGGGCACAGCTGGAGGGGTCTCCCATCCCCGGGGGTCTCCGGGAGGGAGGAGGATTGAAGCCACGGCTGAAGACCCCAAAACGGGCGTGGGGATGGGGTGGGGGGCCCTCGGTTCGTTGTGCTGGACCCCAGCCCCATTTCCCCCCACCCCCGACAGAGCCGGCAGCACACGAGGGGCGGCGTTTGGGATCGGCTTTATTTGGGATGTGCGGGGACAAGGGGGGGGGTCTCTGGGTCCGGGAAAGCCGCGGGACGAGCCGGGAGCTCGGCGGGATCCGTGCCCTGCTCGCTGCTCACTGCTCACCTGCAAGAGAGAAAACAGCGGAGCTGAGCCCCGGCCCAGCCCCCTCCTCCCCCTCATCCCCCCTTGGGACCCCCACCCAGGCGCCCCCCACCCCCCCAGGCGCGGGGAGGGGCCGGGGGCCGCTGTGGGGCGCTGACCTCGGGGCCGCAGCCCGAGCCCCCGTGCGCACCCGAACAGGTGATTGCTCAGGTGGGTCACCAGCCAGTTAATCGCGTCCATGAGATGAGACAGCACCCCCTCGTTCTTCTCGCTTTCCTGCGCCTCTGCGGGGGCAAAACCGGGGGGCTCCAGCACCCCGAGGGGCTCCTCGCCCCCTCCTCGGGGTCCCCCCCCCCACCCAAAGCGGTGGCGCTGAAGCCCGGCACGTCCTGACCCCCCCTGTGACCCCCCGGCCGTGCCTCGGGGGGGTCTGACCCGCCCGCTCCCTCCCCCTCGGAGCCGGGACAGGGATTTGGGGTCGTTCCCAACCCTCGGGAACGAACTGACCCGGCAGCACCGACCCCGCCTTGGAACAGAGGCAGAACCCAAAAATCTGCCCTTCCCTGGGGGGTTCGGGGGTTTTGGGGGGCTCTCAAAGCAAATCTGCCCTTCCCTGGGGGGTTTGGGGGGATTTAGGGGGTCCCAAAGCAGATCTGCCCTCCCCTGGGAGGTCCGGGGGGATTTAGGGGGTCCTAAAGCAGATCTGCCCTTCCCTGGGGGGTTCGGGGGGATTTAGGGGGTCCCAAAGCAGATCTGCCCTTCCCTGGGGGGTTCGGGGGCTGTTTGGGGGGATTTAGGGGGTCCCAAAGCAGATCTGCCCTCCCCTGGGGCTTTTAGGGGTTTGCAAACCTTTCAGTTTGTCTGCCAGTTCCACCAGGACACTCGGGTCCAGGCTGAGCTCCTCTGCCTCCTCGGGGCCCTCTTCAGGATCCTCGGACCCCTCTGGGCTGGCTTCAGGATCCTCAGGCTCTTCATGGTGTGCTTCAGGCTCCTCAGACTCCTCTGAGCTCTCCTCGGGATCTCCTGATTCCTCAGGGCTCTCCTCAGATTCCTCAGACTCCTCGGGGCTCTCCTCAGATTCCTCGGATTCCTCGGGGCTCTCCTCGGGTTCCTCAGTCTCCTCTGGGCTGGCTTCAGGTTCCTCAGACTCCTCGGGGCTCTCCTCAGATTCCTCGGACTCCTCTGGGCTGGCTTCGGGATCCTCGGACTCCTCTGGGCTGGCTTCAGGTTCTTCAGACTCCTCTGGACTCTCCTCAGATTCCTCGGATTCCTCGGGGCTCTCCTCGGGTTCCTCAGTCTCCTCTGGGCTGGCTTCAGGTTCCTCAGACTCCTCTGGACTCTCCTCAGATTCCTCGGACTCTTCAGGGCTCTCTTCAGATTCCTCAGACTCCTCAGGGCTTGCTTCAGGTTCCTCGGATTCCTCAGGGCTGGCTTCGGGCTCCTCGGACTCCTCAGAGCTCTCCTCGGGATCTTCTGACTCCTCGGGGCTCTCCTCAGATTCCTCTGATTCCTCAGGGCTGGCTTCAGGTTCCTCTGATTCCTCAGAGCTCTCTTCGGGATCCTCGGGCTCTTCAGGGCTCGCTTCAGGTTCCTCAGACTCCTCGGGGCTCTCCTCAGATTCCTCAGATTCCTCGGGGCTCGCTTCGGGTTCTTCAGACTCCTCAGGACTCTCTTCAGGATCCTCGGGCTCTTCAGGGCTCGCTTCAGGTTCCTCAGACTCCTCGGGGCTCTCCTCAGATTCCTCGGATTCCTCGGGGCTCGCTTCGGGTTCCTCAGACTCCTCAGGACTCTCTTCAGGATCCTCAGACTCTTCGGGGCTTGCTTCGGGTTCCTCAGTCTCCTCAGGGCTCTCCTCAGACTCCTCAGACTCCTCAGAACTCTCCTCAGACTCTTCAGGGCTCTCCTCAGACTCCTCAGGACTCTCTTCAGGTTCCTCAGACTCCTCTGGGCTCTCCTCAGACTCCTCAGGGCTCTCTTCAGGTTCCTCAGACTCTTCAGGGCTCTCCTCAGATTCCTCAGACTCCTCTGGGCTCTCCTCAGACTCCTCAGACTCTTCAGGGCTCTCTTCAGACTCCTCAGACTCCTCTGGGCTCTCCTCAGACTCTTCGGGGCTCACCTCAGGATCCTCGACCTCGTGGGGTTCCTCGTTGGGCTCCAGCAGCTCATGGGGCTCCTCGCTGGGGTCCAGCAGCCCCAGCAGCTCCAGGGGTTCCTCATTGGAGTCCAGCAGCTCATGGGGTTCCTCATTGGGGTCCAGCAGCTCCAGGGGTTCCTCGTTGGGCTCCAGCAGCTCCAGGGGCTCCTCCTTGGGCTCCAGCAGCTCCGCGGGGTCCAGCAGGTTGCCGAGCTCCGCCAGGAGCCCCTCTGCACTCGGCTCCTCCACGGGGCCTGCGGGGGAAGAGGAGAGCTGGCATCGCCCGCCTGGGCAGGGGTCGGGAGCCCCAGGACCCCCACCCCAGTCTGGGGACACCGCGGGCACCCTGACCTCCCTCCTGCACCCACCGGGACACCCCTGGTGCCACCCCGGTGCCACCCTGATGCCACCCCGATGCCATCCTCAGTTCCACCCCAATGGCACCCCGATGCCATCCACAGTGCCACCCGCAGTGCCACCCCGATGCCACCCGCAGTGCCACCCCCGTGCCAGCCCGGTGCCAGCCCGGTGCCAGCCGTGTCCCCAGCTCACGGGCAGTGGCCAGGCTGGCGAGCCCGGCCAGCAGCAGCACGGCACAGAGCTTCATCCTGGCGGCGGGCACGGGCACAGAGGGCACAGAGGGCACAGAGAGCTGGGCTGAGCGCGCTGCCTGAGCCGGGAGCCGCCTCTGCCCCTTATGAAGGGGCTGGGGCAGGGCTGGGCACCCGGGGATTTTCCAGGTGTGGGCAGGTGCCCGTGCCAGGGTGGGATTAGCCCGGATTAGCCCCCAGCCCCCCCGGGCCAGCCCAGCCCCAGCCGCGGGCAGTTCCTGACCCCCCCAGAGCTCCGTGGGTGCAACTTCAGAGTGTCCCAGGGCACCCCAGAGCAAACCAGGGCACCCCAGGGTGTCCCAGGGCACCCCAGAGCGTCCCAGGGCACCCCAGAGTGTCCCAGGGCACCCCTGGACCCCTCCCAGGCCCCCCCACGCTCCAGCACTGGTTTCCCAGCACCTGATGGGAAAAGGACGGGAGGGGACATTTGGGGACATGGAGGGACACGGGGATGGGGGGACATGGAGGACACACAGCTGGGACAGGGAGTGACCATGGGCTGGACATGGCCAGGACACAGAGTGACACGGGCTGGACACGGGCTGGGCACAGAGTGACATGGACAGGACAGGGAGTGACACGGGCTGGACACAGTGACACGGAATGGACACGGGCTGGGCACAGAGTGACAGGACAGGACAGGGAGTGGACACGGGCTGGACACAGTGACATGGGGTGGGCGGAGTTCCGGGGAGTGATTGATTGATTGATTGATTGATTGACAGCAGCTCCGAGGGAGGGAGGATTCCGGGATGTGTCCCAGGAGAGGCTCTGGGTCCTGCAGGGGTGGTGTGGGGTGGGAATGGGGTGAGGGATGGGACGGGGGATGAGGGGTGGGGATGAGATTGGGGATGGATTGGGGATGGGATTGGGGATGGATGGGGATGAGATTGGGGATGGGATTGGGGATGGATGGGGCTGGACGTGGGTAGGAACAGGAATGGAGAAGGGATGGCTGTGGGGATGGGGCAGGACATGGTGTCCGTGGGGATGGAATTTGGGATGGAATTGGGGCTGGATGTGGATGGGGATGGAATTTGGGATGGGATGGAATTGGGGCTGGATGTGGGTGGGGATGGCATTTGGGATGGAATTGGGGCTGGATGTGGCGCCAGCAGGGACGGAGAGCACCCTGCACCAAATGTAGGACACGGGGCCCTGCTGCAGCCCCCCCACTCCCTCCCTGCCCCCCCAGCAGCTCCGGCTCCCGTGGGAAGCGGCTCCCACGGCTTGGCCACATCCTTCCTCTTGGCTGCCGAGCCGAGGGATGAATCCTGGGTGTTTTCCATCATCCCAGCGCCCGAGGGAGGATCTGTGCCACCTTCCTGCCTGTTCCTGGTGGCTCAGAGAGCCCCGTTCATTCCCGGTGGGAAGGGGAGGGTGAGGAGAGCCCAGGCGTGCCCCGGGCGGGGATTTGGGGCAGGCAGATCCGGGAGGCACAGCCAGAGCCCCCAGCAGGGAGCTGGAATCCTGGATCGGGGAGTTCATCCCCAAACGCCCTCGCAGAAACACCTCATGGCAAGAGGAACCTCTTTGTGCTGCTCCAGCAGCCAGAAGTTCCCAGTCCCAGGGGATTAATTAATCCTAAATGGCCCCAAAATCCCCTAAAACCCTCCCGGGAAGCACCGTGGGCTCCAAGGTGTCCATGAAAGGTGCTGGGGCTGCTGATGTCTCCGTGGAGAGCCGGAGGGAGATGTCCCAGCGTGTCCCCAACCCCATCCCTGTCCCAGCCTGGCTCTGGGATGGAACAGTCTCCCACTGGGATTTGGGATTCTGCCCCTGTGGGATGGAATCCTCCCCCCAGGGTTTGGGATTCAGCTCCGGTGGGATGGAACCCTTCCCTGGACCCTCCCCCCGGGGTTTGGGATGGGACCCTCCCCCCGGGGTTTGGGATGCGGCCCCGGTGCCGGAGGGGCCGCGGGGCTAATCCCGGATGATCCCGGCCTGGCCGCCCGCCATGGGGAAGCCCCGGGGCTGTTGATGCTCCGGGATTTCCCTTCCCGGTGCCACCGTGGCACACCGAGGGTCCCGGGGGCGGCGACAAAGGGACAGCCCGGCGACAAAGGGACCGCCGTGGCTCCTTGCCCGGGTCCCGGGGCTCGCACCCGGGTGGCGCGGGGGCTGTCCCTGTCCCCTGGGTGGGGGCTGGGCAGGGATGATCCCCCCCCCCCCCCCCCCCCCCGCCAGCACGGACACAGCCACCGCCATCCCTTGGGGGACTTTATTGTGTCCCCAACCCCTCCAGTGTGACCGACCAAAGTGCAAGTGACGTCCCCAGGAGTTGGGGACACGTCCCCAAGGGCTGGGGACACGGGGGGACACGGGGGGGACACGGGGGGAGACGGGGCAGGTGATCTCAGGTCACCCTGGGGACACGGGGCCACAGCAGCACGGACACACCGGGTGGCACGGGGTGGCACGGGGACACGGAGTGGGTCGGAGACACGGTGGCACCGAGCAGCCCGTGCCCCCCAGGAGGGTGGGGAAGACCCCAGCTCACTCCTGCGGGTGGTGATGAAGGGATGGGGGGAGCGGGGCCATCATCATCCTCATCCTCTTCATCATCATCATCATCCTCATCCTCCTCCTGGCTCGGCACCTGCGGGGGCGGCTGCGGGGCTGAGCGTGTCCCCGCTGCCGTGACAGAGCTGTGGCACCGCGTCCCTCGTGTCCCCACGCGTGACCCGGCCCGGCCTGTGCCCGGGGGGGGAGGGGAGGGACGCGGCTCCGCCCGAGCCTCTGAATCATTTAAACCTTAAAAGCCTGGGAGGCTCCGGGGACATTTCCCGCTCCAGCTCCTTCCCCGCGCCCGCCGGGGGGGCCTTCCTCCCTCCTCCTCCTCCTCCTCCAGCTCCAAGGACTCCGCCGCTCCTCGGGGCTCGGGGACCCTCGCGGGGGGCTGCACCCCGTGGGACCCCCCCGCAGCCCCCGCGGTGTCCCCGGGGTGACACCAAGGGCCGAGGCCGGGGTCCCCCGGGGGTCGCAGCCCCGCGGGGCTCTCGGGGGTGGCCGCCACCCTGCTGGGGTGACATCGCCCCACGGGGTCCCCTGTGTCCCCTCGCGCTGCTCTGTCCGAGGTGTCCCCAACCTTCCCAAGGTGTCCCCAAACTTCCCTCTTCCCTAAGGGTCCCCAAACTTCCCTAAGGGTCCCCGACCTTCCCAAGGGAAGCGGGTGACGGCGAAGCCACCCCGGGTTTGGGGGTGACAAGGAGGGGTTTTCCCTGGCAGTGGATTTCCAAGCTGGGATGGCACCTCTGAGGCCGGGGGACAGCACGGGGTGACAGGGACATGGGGACAGCACAGAGTGATGGGGACATCCCCAGCGTGGGGACAGCGCTCACCTCACGGCCACTGAGGTGTCACCCCTGGCCCCTCATCCCTCCCGACGGGTCCCCAAGGAGCTGGAGTTCCCAGGAACTGGAATCTCCAGGACCTGGAATCCCCAGGAGCTGGAATTCCCAGGAATTGGAATTTCCAATATCTGGAATCCACATGATCTGGAATTCCCAGGAATTGGAATCTTCAGGATCTGGAATCTCCAGAAATTGGAACCTCCAGGAGCTGGAATCCACATGATCTGGAATTCCCAGGAATTGGAATTTCCAATATCTGGAATCCACACGATCTGGAATTCCCAGGAATTGGAATCCACACGATCTGGAATTCCCAGGAATTGGAATCCCCAGGATCTGGAATTCCCAGGAATTGGAATCCACACGATCTGGAATTCCCAGGAATTGGAATCCCCAGGATCCTGACACCCCAGGGGAAGATGGAAATATTCCTGTGGAGAACAGGAACACCCCCGGGAGGACGGGAATATTCCTGAGAAGGACTGGAAGAGCTCCGGAAGGACGGGAAGAGCCCTGGGAATGACAAGGATGCTCCTGGGAAGGACGGGAAGAGCCCTGGAAGGACGGACAGATCCCCGGGAAGGACGGACACCACCCTGGACAGATCCCTCAGCCCCGCCCCGGGGTGGGAGCGGGAGAAGGGCCCCGTCCTGTCCCCCCTGTCACATCCCGCACACGGCTGTCCCCAAGGGGGTCCCCAGGATGTCCCCAGGGGGGTCCCCAGGATGTCCCCTGGATGTCACCCAAGCACGGCCAGGGCACCCGCAGCGCCACCAGGGCCTGGCCAGTGAACTCGCTGCTGCCGGGGGGGCTCCCAGTTCAGCACAACCCCCCCCAGTATCCCCTCATCCCATTCCCAACCCCCCCATTCCCTCGGGAAGTGCGGGGTGGGGGGTCGGGGGGGTCTCTCCCACCAAAAATTCCCGACGAGCCCCGGGATGGGGCTGGGGGTCCATCTGCCTCTCCTCCCCCCCCCCAGCGCTGGGAACCCCCCCTCCCCAAAACCACCAGGGCCTTTATGGCGACCCCCGCCCCCTCGGGATGCCCCCCCGGGACCCCCGGGGCTGGCGGGGGGGCACGGCGGGGCTGGGGCGGCCCCCCCCGCCTGACCTACTTAGGGATTCCTGCCGGCAGCTCCGGCACCGCCCGGGCTCGGGCTCCATGAATAAGTGATGGGACACGCGCTCAGGGCTGCGGGGGGGCCGGCCCCGAGCCCCCCCGGCCTGGAACCACGGCCCCGAACCCCCCCGGCCTGGAACCACGGCCCCGAACCCCGGCCCCACAACCCCCCCTGTCCCACACCCCGAACCCCCCCACACCCCTGGGGGTGTCACTTGGGGGGCACACGGGGCTGTGGGGACACAGCACACCCAGGACAGAGGATCGGGGACACCCCCAGCCCCCCCAGTCCTAACTCGGCCGTTTTAGGGTTTTTGGGGGTGTCCCTGCGGGTCCGGGCTCAGCGGGACAGTCCCCGAGCGCTGGCCTTGTCCCCTTGTCCTGGAGAGGGGGGGCGATGGTGGGACTGCCCCCCCTGACTGCGGGGCGGGTGCTGTCCCTGTCCCTGTCCCTGTCCCTGTCCCTGTCCCTGTCCCTGTCCCTGTCCTTGTCCCCTTGTCCCTGTGTCTGTCCGTGTGTCCCAGTCTCTGTCCCACTCTCCTGACTCTGTCCCTGTGTCCCTGTGTCTGTCCCTGTGTCTGTCAGTGTCCCCAGCACTGTCCCCGTGTCCCGTTGTCTGCCCCTGTGTCTGTCCCCGTGTCCCGTTGTCCGTCCCCGCGTCCCACGCGCGGGGCCCGGGGCGAGGCGTGGCCTCCGCGGGGCGTGGCCGGGGCGTGGCCGGGGCGTTCCCGGGGCCACCGCGCCGAGCGGCCGCCGCTGTCCCCGGAGCCCCGCGGGACCGTGGGGCGGGGGGTGGCAGTGCCAGGGCCATGTGCCCGCTCCGCGCGATGCCACCGCGGCCAGCCCGGGACCCCCCGGCCCCTCCGGCCCTCGCCCGGCCCTGCTCCCGTCAGGGCCGCTCCCAGAACGGCCCCGGGCACGGGGTGACCCCGCGGGGACACGGCCGGGGACCCCCGGGCACCGCCAGCCCCCCGGGGGCTGCGGGGCACTCGGGGGTCTGGGGGAGACCCCTGGGCCCCTCATCGCCCGCGGGGGCTTGAGGGGGTGAGGAGAAGAGGGGGGTCCCTGCCGTGCCCTCCCAGCCGGGGGTGCCGGGGGTGGGGGGCCAGGACCCCCCCGGTGCCAGCGGAGCGGGGGCGAGGGTGGCACTGTCACTGAATGTGCCCTTCTGGGGCCACCACCCCGCGCGGTGGCAGCAGCGGGGGGTCCCCAGGAGGGAGGGGGAGAGTTGGGGGTCCCCAGGAGGGAGGAGAAGGGGGGCACGAGCCCCCCAGCACCCAGCCCCGGGCACCCTCAGCCCCGTCCTCATCAGAGCCGGGCTCGGGCACTGCCCAGCCCCGGGCACCCCCTGCCCTGCCGTGCCTCAGTTTCCCCTCCCCGGGGGTCTCACCCAGCGCCTCTCGGGGCGCTGGGGTGGGGGTGACGCGGCCCCGTGCGGTGGCAGCAGGTGGCACTGCCCTTGTCCCCTCCCTGCTCCCCTTCCTCGCGGTGACGGGGCTCGGCCGTGCCACCCCTCTGCGGGTGGCACCGCGGTGTCCCTGCGTCCTGCGGGGTCACCCCCGATCCGTCCAGCCCCACCCTCCCGTGTGCCCCCCGCAGGTCGGGCAGCCCCCTGACCCCCATCTCAGCCGAGCCCCCCCCGGTGCCCCCCCGGTGCCCCCCGGTGCCAGGCCCGGCCCAGGCCTTTGTCCTGCGCCTCTGCCCGTGTCCCCAGCTCCCCCCGAGGCCGCGGGGACAATCCCGGGGGGTTTTGCTGAGCCGAGCTGAGCCGGGCCAGGCCAGGGCCCTCCCGCTGCTGCCGCTGCCCGGTGCCCGGTGCCGGTGCCGGTGCCGGTGCCCGGTGCCAGTGCCAGTGCCCGGTGCCGCTGCCGGTGCCCGGTGCCCGGTGCCCGGTGCCAGTGCCCGGTGCCCGGTGCCCGCTGCCGGTGCCCGCTGCCGGTACCGGCCCCGTCCCCGCTGCCCCCGGATCGCTCCGCGCTCCTTGATCGATGCTGGAGATTGATCTAAAAATAGCTCCGGGAGGGAGCGGGGATGGAGGGATGGGGGAGGGATGGGGCATGGAGGAGGGAGGAGGGAGGGGAGGAGGGGGAGGTGCGGAGGGGCGGGGGGGGCTCCCGGCCGCTCGCCCGCCTCATTAGCATCTCATCAGCATCTCATTAGGCAGCCCGCCTCATTAGGGAATCCTCGCTGGGAAATGCGGCTGGCGGAGCGCTCAGTCACTGGGTCAGCGGGGAAAGGGGGCGCGGGGTCAGCGCTGTGCCCACCGCTGTGCCCGGTGCCACCGCTGTGCCCAGTGCCACTGCCGTGCCCACCGCCGTGCCCAGTGCCACCGCCGTGCCCAGTGCCACCTCTGTGCCCAGTGCCACCGCCGTGCCCAGTGCCACCGCTGTGCCCAGCGCTGTTCCCAGTGCCACCGCCGTGCCCACCGCTGTCCCCAGTGCCACCGCTGTGCCCAGTGCCACCGCCGTGCCCAGTGCCACCGCCGTGCCCAGTGCCACCTCTGTCCCCACCGCGGCCACCCCGCGGCCACCGACCCCCCCAGAAGGCAGCGGCGGGGCCGGAGCGGCTCCGGGTGACCTTGGGCAAGGACAGCGGCCGCAGAGGAAGGGCAGGGCCCCGCCGCTGTCCCCGTGTCGCTGTCCCCGTGTCGCTGTCCCCAAGCCCTTCCCGCGGCCGGGTATAATTAGCTCCGGGATGGAAAAGCCACCTGTGTCCGGCCACCGCTGTCCCCGCGGGGCCACGACCGGGGCCACCACCGGGGCCGCCACCGGGGCCACCACCGGGGCCACCACCGCCCCGGGCACGGCGACACGGCGGGCTCGGGGCCAGCGGAGACAGCGGTGTCCCAAGCCCTGTCCCGGGGGGTCAGGGCCGAGGGTCCCAGTTCCATATCTGGGGGTTCCCGCTCCCTGTCTGGGGGTCCCAGTTCCATATCTGGGGGTCCCAGTTCTGTGTCCGGGGGTCCCAGTTCTGTGTCTGGGGGTCCCAGTTCTGTGTCCGGGGGTCCCAGCTCCCTGTCTGGGGGTCCCAGTTCTGTGTCCGGGGGTCCCAGCTCCCTGTCTGGGGGTCCCAGTTCTGTGTCCGGGGGTCCCAGCTCCCTGTCTGGGGGTCCCAGTTCTGTGTCCGGGGGTCCCAGTTCTGTGTTGGGGGTCCCAGTTCTGTGTCCGGGGGTCCCAGCTCCCTGTCTGGGGGTCCCAGTTGTCTCTTCTGTCCCCCCCAGATCCGGAGGCGCCGCCCGACCCCGGCCAACCTGGTCCTGAGCAGTGACCAATCGTCCCCAGGTGGGTCCCAGCGGTGTCCCCGCGTCACCCCCGGCCCCAGCCCACCCAGGGACCCCCCAGAGTGCTCAGGGACCCCCCCCCAAGAAGCTCAGGGGCCCCAAATATGTTCAGGACACCCCCCAACGTGGTCAGAGACCCCCCCATTACCCAGAGGGTCCCCCCCACATGCTCAAGAAGCCCCTAAGGACACTCAGGGACCCCCTAAATGACTCAGGGACCCCCAAAACTGCTCAGCCACCCCCACGTCACTCCCAGC